TCATTAGCCAATCATGATGAAGTGTGTTTGCAGTGTTTAGAATTAATTAATTTAGAATTGTTTGCTGTGAATTGATTATGTCTATTGCAGTGCCAAGCATTGCAATAGATTGTCGTTTTCTTGATTAAGAACCTATAGATTGAAATTGTATTGAGTGATTTGAGTGAATAAAGCATTGAAAAGGGCAGAAGCATGTGGACATTCTTTATTTCTCCCCCTGGACTGCATAAGTCACACCTTTTGCCCTCGCAACATTTATAAAGGCAGAAAAGAAGGTAGGTGAAATGTAAGATGTCAAAGATGATTTTGAGAACTTAATGCTGTTATCTTATTTGTATTTATGTATTTATTGTTTCCTCTGGATGAGAATATAAATCTGTCACAGGCAAATGAGGAGCCAGAACTCCAGGGCTTTGTTCTTGTGTCCTGAGGAAAAAACTTTAGTCAGAGGTGGCAAACCAAGCCAGAAATTTTTATTATAAGTGAAAATGAGGCTCAAGCAAAGAACATTCCGAAAAGAGAAGGAGTGATTTATTCTTCAAGCAGAGAACTACAAAAGAAACTTATGTCCTCCATGTTGGGCTGGAGAGTTTTTGACCCTATTTGTCCATTCTGGTACTGTCATGGCTGTCATCCCATTCAGGGAAACTTCCTCTACAAGTCAGACCTTTGTTAATGCAGATTTTGGGGATCAATGACCAGGCAAACTTTCTCTTAGTGTGCTTGGACTACTAAAGAAATTGCCCTTCTGATTTATATTGAGAAGCCTATGGCTATAAATCCTAACTTTACAATGATCTGTGGACCCTGTCAGGAGTTAGTTAGTCCCATCAATCTTTCCTTCTTGACATATTTCTTAATTTGTTCTCTTTATTTCCATCTGTTTATTCTCAGAGTCAGAATACCTGCTGTTTTCCTACAAGTTACTTGATTATTCTGTAGTTTTAAAGACAATTTATAGAAACCCCATGACCCTGCTTATGTTATTAGTTCACATTCCACTGCTCCTTGGTGACAACTACCTAACAAATCCAAAAGGAAGGGTCTTTATTTTGTTCCTGCCTTTTCCTCAGTAATTAGTTTGCAGAAAGTAGTAAATACTTAGGAACGAAAAGTACACAGAAGTCAAGTACTTACCAAAGGGCCTGGCTCATTTATGCCAGCTATTGACATATTATAGGAGAATACCAAGTGATAAAAGATAAAAAGAGTGCAGGAAATGAAAAATCATTTGTAACATTTTGTAATCAGAATATAGACTATGTATATATTATGATTTAGCTATACATGAAGCTATATATAGCTAGCTGTACATGAAGAAGAAAAAGAAACTACAGATACATGCAATAGAATGTTATATTAATATTATGTAAGAAGTCTTATCCAAATGTATACATTCTGTATCTGTTTATAGAAGGATCTAGAATAAAATATGTGACAAAAAAAATCGGAAAAGTGATCATTGCAGGGAGGCTAAGAGGGAACTGGGAAGGAATATAAGGGAATTTTCTAGGGGTGATAATAATGTTCTGTATCATTACAGGTT